CCCCCGGGGGCGAGCAGGGGGCCAGGCTCCCCCCCCTGGGCTGCTGCGCACGCTCTGGGGGTGCACCCAGCACACGGAGGGGTTCTGGGCTCAAGCACACACTGAAGCCGGGTCATGGGGAGCTTCTCCTCATCCAGGATCTCCAAGTCCTTCTCCTCAGGGCTGCTCCATCCAGTCTGTCCCAGTCTGTGTCTATGCTGGGGATTGCCTCAACCCAGGGGCAGGAACTTGCACTTGGCCTTGTTGAACTCCATGAGGTTCACTCAATGAGGACCTCTCCAGTGTGTCCAGGTCCCCCTGGATCCCATCCCTTCCCTCCAGCATGTTGACTGCACCACACAGCTCAGTGTTCTCAGCAAAGTTGCTGAGGGGTCACTCGATCCCACTGTCCATGTCACCCAGAAAGATGTTCAACAGCACCGCTCCCAGCACTGAGCCCTGAGGAACACCACTCATCACTGGTCTCCGCTTGGACATCAAGCCTCTGACCACAACTCTTTGAGCATGACCACCCAGCCAATTCCTTATCCACCAAGTGGTCCTCTGTAATTTTAAGTTTCATCCTGAGCCCAAGATATCTTTATCCATTGCTTTCTCTACTCTCCCTCTCAACTATGAGGAGGATGGGTGATTTCTTTTACCGACATACAACCTTGATGCAAAAGTATGCTCAAAAAATACATGTGATTTTCTTCTTTTAAATGTATAAACACTAAAATCCTAACTGTTTGACAATTCCTGAAGCTCTAGAGGCATCTGAAATTCTCCATTTATGGAAGATAATTCACTCTTAAATTCCTAGAAACAGTCTCCCTTGTCCTAGAGACATACACAATTGTGTTGGTAAGCATTTCTAAACCTTCCCTGAAAATGCAAACAGGTAATTTCCCACTGACCCCTTCAGAAATAAAACTGCCTTAGCATGGGCAAAATGCAGTCCATACTGTGGAGAAGTATTTCACACCACAAAATGCAAATCATGCGGTCTCTGGTATTTACTAGAAAGCAGCAACTGTAAGTTTATGGAGAAGTTCATAGATGAGACATAACACCTTGTCACAAAGCTGACAGTGTAAAGGCCAGGTCCTCAAACCATGAGTGAAGCTAATTGCAGATATCTGCAGTATCAGCCCCAAATAACACAAGAATCTCAGAATCAGCCAGGTTGGAAAAGCCCTTCAAGCTCATCCAGTCCAACCTTTCCCTCAGCCCTGCCAAGGCCACCACTAACCCCTGGCACTGAGGCCTCGGCTACACGGGGTGTGAACACTTGCAGGGATGGTGACTCCAGCACTGCCCTGGGCAGCCTGTTCCAATGCCTGAGCACCCTCTGGGCAAGGAATTGTTCCTCAGCTCCAGCTAAACCTGCCCTGGGGCAGCTTGAGGCCAGTTCCTCTTGTGCCATCCCTTGCTCCTTGGGAGCAGAGACCAGCCCCCTCCTGGCTCCATCCTCCTGTCAGGCAGTTGGAGAGAATCACTCAGAAACATCTTTCAATGGTCAGAACAGACTCAAAAGGTGCTCATCAGGCTGGCACAAAGCAGAGGGAAAATTTTGCCATTACTCTGGCCTCTTCTGCTAACACATTTCTCCTTGAATTACAAACATGGGATATCAAGAGGGACTGGTCTGCTGGATACTACTGAACATCACACAACTCCTGCAAACCCACCAGAGCTCAGGAACTGATGACACTGCTCATTTACATGCTGCACATGGCTTTGGTGTTTCAAATGCCATACAGACAGTTTGTTGGTTAGAGCACGAATTCCAAAACTCAAAGAAAAGCTGTGGGGAAGAGAGGGAGGAGGGAAATATCAGGGTGAAATTAAAGGTCTCCACAGCAGTCTGTGGTGTGATTAAACCTCAAAGAGGCTCTGCCTCTTCACTGTTAGTCGGGAACCCATTTGGCATAAAGCAAACAGGTTTTCTCCAAAGGCACTCGCATGGTTCATGATGCCAATTCCACTAACTGGCCCAATTTCATTAAAATCCCAAGGCACCCTAATAAAAAAACCTTTCTGGGATAACACTATAAAGCACCAGGGCTTTCCATTTAGTACGAGTGGGCTTCCCCCCTTTAAAAACCAAACCACCAAGAGAAAAACGAAAATGGGATTCATTTTTATTGCTTTGCTTTTTACTTGAACACTTTAAAAGCAGCCAGCTCTGCACTAAAAGCTTTGGATCTTCATCTCATTCTGAAAGCCTTGTCAAACACTGGGCATCTGCTCAGCTACCTGTCAGCTGCCACAAAGGACCAACTGACTCAGTGTGAGAAGGGGAATGAGAAAGGTGGAAAATCTTCTCAGTGTTAGAACAATTCTTACGAGAACAGGTTCCGGTTATAACCCAAAGTGAAATCAAGTGCAGCCCAAGCACAGAGAGAAGGAGCAGCCCTTCGCCAGCCAATCTTTTTATTATGCCATGAGATAAACTGATCACCCCAAGGGAAACAAAGCAAACCAAAAGAAAAAACAAAAAAAGAGATGAAGAAAGAATAGCCTTCAAATAACCCATTCAAAAAATGCAACGCTGTTCCATTTCATGGGATATGGCCTTCACTGATCGCATCTCTCTACCTGAATGACGAGCTCAAGCACATCTGAAAGCTTTAGTCTCCTGGACAGCACTAAAACACAATCCTAGAGAAAGTTTACCTCTGCAACAGAAGCCCTGAAAGAGGAATTATTCTTCTTCTAACAGCCCTTGTTTGTTAAAGGCATCCACAAGTCAAAGATTTAAACAATAAACAACAACTATGTAACACCATGACTTGCTCATACTGAACTTTAAAAGCCTGATTCCAACACATGTGCCATTTGGATAATACTTGTGCCCAGTTTACCATCCCCAACAAAGTTGCACCCTGCCTGACACGTGTCAGTTTTTACATGTTAACATTTCTTTCTCTTGTAAACAGATCAGGGCATGGCTCGAGTGTAACGCAAAGAATGGTTTGGGTTAGATTTTTGTGAAGTTGAAAGATGTGCTTTGTGCATAAGACTCAGCCTGAAACACTGAGCAGTGGCCATGGGAGAAGGTAGCAATGAATATCTGCAATATTCAACTCTAGCTCACAGGGTAATCAGCACTCACCAACCAAGTTTGCTTCATTCAGAGAGGAGATTAATCTTTCAGTGTGTGAAGAAAGAAGACGAAGAGGCTCAATAGTGTGGGCTGAAAAATCCCAAGTCACATATGGGTGAGTGTTTAAGTTAGTAAAGCTGCCTGAAGAGACAGGCAGTTTACAATTACACATAAACTACTACACATGGACCATGTCTGAGTACAGACTGGTGAAAGTATTATCTTAAAGTATCATCAAATAAAATTATGAACCCCTTGGGGTGTAATGGGAAATCAGTGTCATTTAAGAATTCAGCCTTTCATGAAATTACTACAGACAAAAAGTGACTACTCCAATTCCTATGGTTCAGGTCACACACCAAAAAGTTGGAAGAACACCTTTGCTGCTATGCCCTTAGCACTGCAAAGTGCTGAGTTCTAACTACTGCAGCAAGACACTCACTTGTTCCTAAGTACACCCACTTGAACCAAAAAATCTTTGCAAGTATTTCTTTTCAATGTTAAGGCTTCACTTTTGAGCAAGCCACAAATGCTTTATTTAAACTCAACTGCAAGCTCTAAATCCAGCTCATTTACTATTATTTTTCAATATTCAGCTTTGGAGGTATTTCCAGTAAGTAAAAACACAAACAGCTGAGCTACAAGGGCTACCACACATCTGCCCTGCAAGGTGCCTGTTTCCTGAATATTCCTGCCCATTTTATGTGGTATCAGAGAAGCAAACAGTCAACAGCACTCACCTGAGCACACCTTCCCAACTCTGTCTTGCCAAGGTACTGAAATATCTTCAGTGCCAGTTCATAAGGCAGCTGGACATCAAAGAAAGGAACCTCATTTATTTCATTCTGAAAAGAGAGACAATAATTTGTTAGGCTTCCTCAATGCACACCTAGGTAGTAGCAAAAGTCACCATGGGATGGAGGAAGGATGTTGTATCCTCAGTGCCATAAAAGTTCCATCAAAAAGGTAGAAGTAGTTCTGCCTCTCCTTCCTGTAACAGTGCATCAGACAGACCATGGTGGCTGAAGGTACCTGAACTACTCTTTGCTCTCCCTGAGTCATATCAGGTAAAGAATATTAGAAGGCAAAGTGGAGCTAAAAGGCAGACTGAGGAGAACAGTAAGACTTATCTATGGTCAGATGGCAGAGAAAGGCAAGACACAAGTTTAGTGAAAAAGTTTGTCTAAGGTTTAAGCATCAAAAAGACCAAAGAAGTAGATCAAACTGTGAAGACATATGCCCAGTATTGATTTTACTTACAAGATTTCAAACACAGACAATGGAAAATTAATATTTTGATACCAAACTGAATGGAAATCAATTTACAGTCTGTCTTCCATTAGTGACATATAAATGTCTTTTTAATATGTAATGTGCTGAATGAGTTGCTGCTTTAACTGATTAAGTATCTAAAAAAAACAAGTTAAACCCAAAGAATGCATCATTTCATCCTAAAGCTAAATGCAGCACATATATTTTTCCTATATGCTTTTTTGTTTGTTTTAACTATATAATTATTAAACTTCTTACTGCAGTTATTCCATCAAGATTTGACTCCCTTGTTTCTGCCTGGATATTCCAAATTTTTATACTATATAACAGAGAGAGAGCAAACTCAGCCCATTCTGGGCATTTCTATGTCACCTATTCTGATGTTTTGCTCTCTGGTGATTTTTCCTGGTTCCTGTACCCTCCCCAGGTGCTCCTGAACGCCTGATCCCTCTCCATCAATCCAGATGCACAACATCGGCTGCTCAGTTACAACCTGTCTCCAGTTTGCCATCAGAAAGTCAGGCAGATCCCAAATCAGGATCTTCCCCTGCTCCTCAGCACCACTCCAGCCCCAATGCCTTTCTTTCTTTGTAGGTCTCTCCTATGTTCCTTGCTCATTTAAACCTGGACCCTTGGCAGTACCAGTGAAGGAGGACATACAGGCAGTGCTGGCTTTATTAAAAGCAAGTTACACAGGAAAACTGTTGGAGAATATGGCTGCATGTAAGTTTTCAATGCAAAAGGTATTCTACACCTAATATTCAGTAATTCCAATACCTCAATACCTAAAGGGGCTCTACAAGAAACCTGGAGAGGGGCTTTGGACAAAGGCCTGTAGGGGCAGGACAAGGGCAATGGCTTTAACCTGCCAGAGGGAGACTGAGATGAGCTCTGAGGCAGAAGCTGTTCCCTGTGAGGGTGCTGAGGCGCTGGCCCAGGGGGCCCAGAGAAGCTGTGGCTGCCCCATCCCTGGCAGTGTCCAAGGCCAGGTTGGACACAGGGGCTTGGAGCAACCTGCTCTAGAGGAAGGTGTCCCTGCCCATGGCAGGGGTTGGAACTGGAGGAGCTTTAAGGTCCCTTCAACCCAAACCAAGCTGGGATTCTAGGATACATTAGGTAAGTGTTTAGACAGCACAAATATGGGCAACATTCCCATTAGGTCTTTTTAGCAAAACAGCACCAGTTTATAAACATTGGAACCTTGCACTCATTCCAAAGTTACTTAAACCAGGACTTGCAGCCAACCTCCCTGCTCCCCTCCCTTCTCATCCACAATTTTCCTGCACAAATGGCTCCTTTTCCTCTCCTTTCCCTCCATATGAGGACCACTGGCTCCACTCCCTGCTGTGGATTTGCAAGATGATCGTTTGCTTTCAATGTGATTTAAATTGCATCTATTTCCAAAGGGAACACCAAAGAAAAATACAAAAGGAACTCTGAGAGCACATCTCTGGCCAGATGTGAACCAGTTTGGCTCCAGGAACGATTTCAGAGCAACACACTGCCCAAACAAATAAGATGAGCAATTCGGCAAGGCTTATTAGCTCGAGGCTTATGAGTTCAGGCACAGCACCACTACGAATGTATTGCTTCCAAATTGGAGTTGACTCACATCCAGCCAGCAGAACCTGGTCTGTCTGCATGTACCCAAAGGTGTCATTGGAAGGACAAACTGCCTACAGACAGCCGGTACAGACATACGGGTCAAGTCTGACAGCTCTCACATGAAAAAGGAGGGGAAAAACTAAAACCAGATGTAGAGATCTTATTTTTAACTAACCTGCAAGAGTATTTATAGCCAAACTGTAAGCACAAACTTGCCACAAAGCACAAGGAGCAGCTCATACTATTCCCATTCTATTGCAACCTTAACATTAGAGACAGACCAAGGTCTTCCCTTCCCACACTCCCCCAAATCCACACAGCTCAGACTCAGCACAGCGCTGCAAACCAAGCAGTAACGTTAAGTCAGCACCAGCCTGTCTAAAAGTCTACTGGAATGAATCCAAAACTCAAACACTGCCATCCCCTCTGAGACAGATTTGGGCTCCTGTGTGCTAATGGAGCACTAATTCTGTAAATGGATTAATTTGTGCCTTGCAGACAGAAATTTAATCTCTTCCTTTTAATTCTTTTAAGCAAACAGTAATTAGTCCCGGTTTGGTTAGTCAGAAGCAGGAAAATGGGTTTCCCCCCTCGTTTTCCTACGCTGTAAATAAAACCTCTGTTGCATTTAGAGGACTCATCAAAATAACTTTATCTGGTTCCGAACTGTATTTAAGACTATTTCCGAAATAACTCATTTATTTAATGAATTAATACTTGTTCTCTTACTACAGCGCCGTGTCACAAGGCAGGATACTCTCAACTACTGCACCTGCACCAAAGAGCCTGAATAAGCAACAAAATCCTTTTGAAAAGAAGAAAGAAATGATAATTCATAAGAAGAAAAGTACATTTTGGAGGGGTAAAACCTCCTCAGACGAAATAAGAAGCTGAGGGTACAAAGGAGCCCACAGAACCCAAACCTCGGGGTTCCCTCCCCGGGCCCTTCCCTCCGCACCCCATGCACCTCA